ATGTTTTCTTTGGGGGGGGGGATAGTACCCTCCCCCGAATAATTTTGCCAATATTTATCGTGGAGGGTCCTATATCGATGGGGTACCTAAATCGGTGGCATCTCCTTTTGAGCTGATGATTTTTAATGGGAGATCTGACTTTATCAATATATGAATGTTACGTAACACAGTAGTTTAAAGTTTGTAATGTAAAATTTAAATAGGAATGACGGTGTTTGGTTAACTCAAAACACACACTAAATTTATGAAACGTAAACAATTTACATGTAGATTGAAATAACCAATTATTTTTGAATTTGATACCTGTTTGTATTCTTATATTTTCTCAACTGATGACAAAACAAGTTGCTAAGACACTAAGAAAAATACGTACGTTTATATTGAAAATATATGATTTTAGTTAGTGAGTCCTCTATGATTTTCTCCTCGCTTATTTCATTATTACATGTTTCATATGTGTTTTTGGCTCTACTGGTCAGAGACCAGAAGAGCTTATGCGATAGTAATGCGTCCGTCGTCCGTCCGTCTGTCTGTCTGTCTGTCTGTAAACAATTTTTCAAAATGCTACTCCTCCTACAGTTTTGGTCCGATTTCAATATAACTTGGCACACAAGTAGACTACACTAAGATACATAATTCTGTGCATCGGTTTTTGATTTCGATGAACGGTATTGCCGTGGTTACTAAAAATAGAAATTTCTGTGAAATTCTTTCAAAATGCTACTCCTCCTACAGTTTTGGTCCGATTTCAATATAACTTGGCACACAAGTAGACTACACTAAGATACATAATTCTGTGCATCGGTTTTTGATTTCGATGAACGGTGTTGCCGTGGTTACTAAAAATAGAAATTTCTGTGAAAGTCTTTCAAAATGCTACTTTTCCTACAGTTTTGGTCTGATTTCAATATAACTTGGCACACAAGTAGACTATACTAAGATACTAAGATACATAATTCTGTGCATCGGTTTTTGATTTCGGTGAACGGTATTGCCGTGGTTACTAAAAATAGAATTTTTTGTGAAATTCTTTCCAAATGCTACTCCTCCTACAGTTTTGGTCCAATTTCAATATAACAAGGCACACAATTAGACTACACTAAGATACATAATTCTGTGCATGGGTTTTTGCTTTCGATGAACGGTGGTGCCATGGTTACTAAAAATAGAAATATCTGAGAAATTCTTTTAAAATGCTACTCCTCCTACAGTTATGGTCCGATTACAATATAATTTGGCACACAAGTAGACTATACTAAGATACATAATTCTGTGCATCAGTTTTTATTTTGATGAGTGGCAAGGATCATTTTTCTATTTATTGCTGTTTTAAAGTTTCAAGTCCCAACTGCTACTTTTCTCTTCCTTTGTTTTAAGTATAAACCAGTAGAGCTACAGTCTCGACAGAGACTTCTGGTTCTTTTCCTTTTCATATTCTGATTATGTATAGTATATCATATACTCATTACTTGTACCTCTGACCTGAATTTATATGTTGTTAATATATTCTTCATTGTCCTCATGTACCTGAAATGGTTTGAGTGAATAAAATGATCTTAAACTTGGACGGGGCCAGGTGCCTTGAACAAAATATCAAATGTATATTTTGATTAAAAATATGTTATTATTTGATTTAATTTTCTATTCAATTGTATTTGATAGGAAAAATTTTGTAACTGTTAATTACCATGAAATACATGTAGATTCCCCGAGGACAGAACCCTATAGAAAACATAGCTACTACATGTATAATGCCCAAAACAAAAACAAAAAAACATCTGATGACCTTTTATTTTTTTTACTTTCTATGGAATTCTTGGTAGTTGATAATGTAGGTTGTCCCCCCTCCCCCACACTGAAATTGCTTCCTCTGGGCCTGTTATTTGTTTATTCAAGCTAAGTTGTTGTTTCTTTCTTACATTCAAATATTTTAAAATAAGTTTTTCCTCTTTCATAGTGCAATAATGCTCCACAACAACTCCCTAGGTGAAGAAAAAATGATCATACATGACTTCTTTCCATATTGACATACCTGTCACTTTTTACCCAATAATACAAAAGAGTTCCAACAAGGGGAGATAACAATTTAACTCCAGCAAATTGGTAACTAGGGGCTAAAATAAGCAAAAGAAAGTTATATGAAGTATTCAAATCAGTTATACCTCTTCTAAAAAATATATTAGATTAAGAATCTTCTCTTTTTCATTTAAATATCATAGAAATAATCCAAAAATATGGTAAAAGTCTGTTATTTAAAATATGTGAAATTGTAGCAAAATATGGTATTTCAAAGTTAATTTACAACATGTAGATATTATTTCCCAAGCTCAATATTTTAATACAGAGTAGACCTTAGATCATTCTTAAAGTAACAATTAATTTAATTTAATTTCAACCTTGGTCTTGAGAGAAATGAGCATCTAAAAATGGCTAAAAAATCATACTCATTTATTTAGGATCTATAAATAGATGTGTAAAAAATAAAAAAATCATTTGAATTAAGTTTTTCCTCATTAATTGTGTTAATTGGACCATGACTTTGAAAATAAAACAAAATTTGAAAGTAAACTGATGACAAAAGGTAACTTTTTGACTTGATCAATTTGTATCAGTTTTCCATTAAATTTTGTGTGATTTTCGACAAATATGCAAATGAGCTGTTACTAAAAATAGATGCAGGGTTCGACATTTTTTTGGTGGATATTCTGACTTCTACCTTCATGTAGAAAATTTTAAGCCACTTAAAATTCCCAAGTTGCAACCTTCCATTTGGACGATTTTTTGAATTTTGCATGGTTTTCTCGCGGACTGGCTCTTAAGAATAATTGAATGAGGTATGATCATGTACCATTTTATTGTGGAAATTTTAGGTTATATAAAGTTTTAAATATAACCAACCATCTGCTTTCAGAGCATTTGGTTCAATGTGTACGTAACTCTTAAAAGCCAACATTTTGAGGCTATTTTTATTCCATTCTGCAATAAACGTATTCATCTAATTGCCTTTATTGACTTCTTAACACTAAAGAGAAGATTTAAGGTTATAAAATACACATCTGTGTCGTTTCGTGGATTAACAAAGCACAGTGATGATAATTTTTTATTGCCCATTCAGTTGACTTAACCTACATGTAACAGCTTTAGAAAGTAATCACTGTCAATATGTAATGCCTTTGTTTACCAATGTGTTCATCCTTTATTATTTAAAAAAGTTAAACGGACGAGAAATAAACAAAAATGAGGTCTGAACTTCATTTAAAGTCTTTTTCAAGGTCACTCCACAAACCAAATCTTTAATTTTTGTAACCACGCCTCCAGTTCAAGCATGATACTTCTGTAAAAATATGAATTGTAAATTTCACAAAAAACTATTTCATTTTTTATCACTCCTACGAACATTATTGATAATTAGGTTTACGTCACGCGATCTTTTGAACTATTCAAAGAAGATTCAATTCAACAAATAAGGTGATACAATCACTCCACACGATAATTAAGTTTCGGTTTTTTGATATTCTTAACAGCTGCTTTTTCAATAAAAATGGAATTCGTGAATTTACTAACCTTCTCATGGGTCATCTGCAAAATTATTTTGTTTAAACATTGTAATTGTGCAACCAAGTGACATCAAAAAGATGCTTGAGTTCATGATCTTGTTATCTGTACTACATGTATATTTCTGTTTATTAATTAAGCTATATTCCTTGAACACTGTGAACATTTGATATCATCTCAACACTGTTTTCAGCCATGCGTTGTTGATATGTATCATATTTTAGATTTTGCTGAGCATCAGAAAATGTAAGGTTGCGAAGTCTCACTCTCTAGCTCTTCCTTAGTCAGCTGAGATATGATTAAACAAATTCGGTTTGCCTTTGGACCTTATATCTTTTGATGTTTAATTTATCAGACTCTAAAAGTTCTTCCAAAATCTGATGAAATGACGAAAAGACTAATATTGCAAAACCTTCAATGGATTTAAATCTATTCGTGGAGGTATAAATGGTAAGAAGTGACTGGCAAAAGTGACATTGTCAACAGAAAGTGTCCATAGCACAGGTAAAATTGTCAACAGAAGATGCGCATAGCACAGGTAAAATTGTCAACAGAAAGTGCCCATAGCACAGGTAAAATTGTCAACAGAAAGTTATGTGGAGGTGACATCGTTAACAGAAAGTTACTAAAGCACAGGTGTTATTGTCAACAGAAAGTTACTTGTGGAGATGACACCATTAACAGAAAGAAACTAACACAAGTGGTATGGTTAGTGACTTTAGCACTGATGAATTTGTCAACAGAAAGTTTCTAGTACAGGTGAGATCGTTAACAGAAAGATACTAACAGGGGTGGTATGGTCAACAGAAAGTGACTTTAGTCAGGAAAGCATCCAAATATAAAAAAAAGAAGATGTGAAAGACTCTGGTGTATTTTATTTTAAGTTTACTGGGATATACTAAGTCGACGTATAATTGATTAAAGGTAGGCGCTTTATCTGATTGTCGAGTTGAAGGAAAAGGCATATATATTAATAGCTGTTAGTTTATTTTGAGGAATGGTTGAATAAAGTGTAGAAATACCGTACGTTTTGATGTCATAGACTATTTATTTTTTATTTTAAATTTTTTGAAAGTTTTTTTTATATCTTCATCTGATTTACACCACAGAATACGTTATATAGCAGTATGCTTGAAGTATCTCCTTGACAGCAGTTAATATTTTAGTGATATGTAAAGATAGGGATTTGTAGAGCGTTTGCTGGTCCTGGTATTATATCTTTCTTGTTTTGTTTTTATTTTGTTTTGCTTTTTTTTTTTTTTTTTTTTTAGAATTTTTAAGAGGATTGGGAATCCAGTAAATATACGTTTTATCGAACTCCGATTAGTTGAATGGAATGTTTAAAGAATGCAATACTGAAATGCTTTTTTAAAGAATTTCTTACATGGAAAGTGAACTGGGAGTTTATGTAGGGTTTTAAGACGTAGGGTGATAACCAAGTTCTTCCAAAATAATGTTATAGTACAATGAGCCTTATGAACAAAGACGATATTGTTATAGACATTGCTTGCTGGAATCATTACATATTGTTGATGTAGTTTCTCTCTTTCTTTTATCAACCTTGGCGTCTCCATCTGAGTGAAAAATTCTCGAGAGGGACGTTACACAGCATACAATCAATCAATCTTTTATCAACCGCCGCGATTAAGTGAAACAGAAATAATGGTTTAACATTTTAATATAAATGATTCTATGTAATTGTTTTTCTTACAATCATTTAACAAGAAAACTGAAAATTTTGAAGTCTTAAACGTTCAAATAAATTGCTGATCTTACTTGACTAAGTTTTAAAAAAAGTATGAAATACCCCTTACAAATGGTTCCATTAAAAAATCAAGACATCTTATGTTCTCTTTTCAACACAACTCGGGGAATACCGAAGAAAATAAAATCTTTTGTTAACATTGCGTTATCTGGGCAGCTACCATTATTCATAAGGCGACAAGCTGCCTGTCGAGTTTTGTTCGTTACATAAATACTTTCAGCAAGACCAGAAGGTGGCCGAATTAGTGTTCGTACAAACTGTTCCGTGACGTCACCCCTTTTCCTCCGCTCCATCATCTCCGAGACAATTTGTGTAGTAATTGCTATTCGCCACATAGTCCACAAATGTCTGTTTGCAATAGGATCAAATCCTGGCGTCAAGGAACGAATTGGTGAAGCAGACTTCGCACGACTTAGTTCATTTTTGACTCTGGCATCTAGCAATTGTTTCTTTGTACGCTTGCGTCCGCGAGGCGATCTCGTCTTGGATCTTGGCGAGTGTGGTGTTTGGCGATTCCGACCTCTTGATTTACGCTGTGATCTTCGAACTACGTCTATCTGCGATTGCACTGTATCTGGGAGATTTACAAAACTCCATGGAGACCTTGCTGTTGACACAATAGGGTATGTGTTGTCAGAGCTGTCTTCTGCTGTCGTTGATATCGAGAAATCTACTTTTGAGCGCGGTGTAATATCCATCATTAATTCTGAAGACAAAATTACCAATGACAGGCCCTAAAATTAAAAAAAAATGTGTATAACGTATAAAAAAACCAGTTATTCTGCGGACATTTTAGGTCCTGATAGGGGGTCAGTACTGGATAGATATTATGGAGTTTCAGGAATGATGTGGTAGGAATTTTAAAGATTGACAGAATATGAAAAATGATCAATGTCGTAAAAATGCAAAAAACAAAAACAAACAAAAAAACAAAACAAAACACAAAAAATCAAACAAACAAAATAAAACTTAGTTTGGGATTTTGTAGAAAGAGTGAGTCGTGGCACTCGATGATAAAATCTTCATGAGTTCAGCAGTTAAGAGGACCAAATAGAATTATGTAAAAAAGAACTACGTGCTTGATAATTCGAAAATTAGAAAGTTTTTATCCGCTACAGAAATCATCGATTCGTCGCTAGAACATGTGAATGAAAGCAGAGGACTCATACTTTTTAAATGCATTCAACCTTGCAAAGTCTTGCAGGAGTAAACAAAAGGTTTAAAGTACCATGCAATTGCATATACATGTTGTAAAACGCATATTTATAAGCATGTTCCAATCGCAAATTATTCTTGAACTTATATTGAGTTTGTGGAATACGCATTTTATCAGCCAAAATATGTTAATAACATTGAAAAAGTTTATTATTAGAAGAAGAAGGTCACAAGGAGATGCTTTATAAGGCGCTTACATAGAATGAACAGTTTATTTTATACATTTATTTTAACAAAATACTGGAGCAATTTAATCTGAACCTATTATTTGCAGATTAAATTGCATTATTACATTAAATATTCTAATATTATAGTACCTGTCAAATGCAACATGTTCCCTTTCAAAACTGATTCCCATTTCAAAATTGATTCCCATTTCAGTATAGCACAAACAGTTTAAATGTTTAGTCAGTCAATATTCTAATAGTGTTTCAATATAAATGGTGTTTTGAAAGTTGGCCAATTTATATCCGAATTTCGTCCTTTCAGACAAAGAATAACAGAGACAAGGTCTCCATTTAACCGTTTCATTTTCCATTTATTTTGCTCTTTTAAATTCAAGACGCTTTAAATGTTTTATTAACATTCTATTCAGAAACTTGAACTCGTGCAATATAATTGTTGCTACCGTTTTGTAAATCGTAGCATTCCGAAATGTAAGGAAGACTCCTTTACGCATTAACTTAATTTTTATACATTTTTTACTTCGTTATAAAAATGCATTTCTTTTACACCCTCAGTAATACCAGTGGTCCTGAGTCAACACGTTTCCGTTGGATGTCAAACGTCAACATGTTAACTCAGGATCCCTGGTATTGCGAGGACTTTCATACATACCAATTTATTAAGAAAATACTTATTGAATATAAATAATGACAGACGAAAGACAAACTCTTTAGAAGGCATATACGAGGGTTGATCCAAAAGTTCGTGGAACTTATCGTGACTTGATGGAAGCAAACAACATGCATATTTATAATATAGAGTCATAATGCAACAATATTGGAAAATTTCACAACATTCCAATTACCAACAAGCAAATTCAAAGAATTGTGGTCCCCCGCTTTCGGTATCTTTGTGGGGAAGATATCATTTTTAGGGTTAAGGTCAATAGGTAAAAGTTTTTGGTATCCCATGAAAGGTCTTGCCATAAAGAATACATATATTTAAAATATGAAAGTCCTAGTTTCTACCGTTCAGAAGTTGTGACCAAGGTTAACGTTTTTAATAGGTAGTTAAAACTCCAAGGTCAATGCCAAAGGGTCAAAGTTCTTGGCATGCAATGAAAGGTCTTCTCACAAGGATTAGATACGTGAAGTACGAAAGCCCTAGCCCTTACCGTTTAAAAGTTATGGTCAAGGTTAAAGTTTTTTCAGAAGTACGTAAATCTCCAAGGTCAAAAGGTCAAAGTTGTTGGTATCCAATGAAAGGTGTTACCTCAAAGAAAACATGTGTGAAATATAAAAGTCCTTGTATCTACCGTTCAAAAGTTATGACCAAGGTTATAATTTTTAAAAAGTAGTTAAAACTCAAAGGTCAAGGTTAAAAGGTCAAAGTTCTTGGTATCCAATGAAAGGTCTTCTTACAAGAATAAAATATGTGAAGTATAAAAGCCGTAGCCCTAACCGTTCAAAAATTATGGTCAAGGATATAGTTTTTGCATAAGTACGTAAATTTCCAAGGTCAAGGTCAAAAGGTCAAAGTTGTTGGTATTCATTGAAAGGTCTTGTCACAAAGAATAAATATGTGAAATACGAAAGTCCTAGTACCTACCATTCAAAAGTTATGGCCAAAGTAAAAGTTTGGAATTTTTTAGTAAAAGTAGTTGAAACTCCAAGGTCAAGGTCAAAAGGTCAAATTTGGTGGTACCCAAAGAAAGGTCTTATCACAAGGAATACACATATGAAATATGAAAATTATAGCTCCACTAAATCAAAAGTTATGGGCAAGGTTAAAGTTTTTGTGACGGACGGACAGACTGACGGACCGACGGACAGACAGACGGACCGACGGACAGACGAATGAGATTTAATGTCCCCTCGCTTTCGCGAAAGCGGGGGACAATAAGGTCACATGAGCTTTCTGAAAATGGATTGTTCTGAAACCCGGGGGAGACTTCGACATAACGTCAAGTTAGATATGTTACGTCGCGTTATAAAAGCACCTCACCTTAATGTCCGATTCGAATACGTAATTCTTCAAAATGCTGCCCTTTTCTCCATTTTTTTTTTCTCAAGCCTGGGTATCCTCTCGCATCAAGTTATCTTCATTTTTTACTCATATTTCAAAATACTCCCCATCTTTTTATATGATGTTCCAATTTAAGTAGCAATGTCAAGAACAGTACGTCAGCCGACAACGTCTTAACGTTTTTAATTTGTCTATGGAGATAAACACTTAAAACAGAATCTCCTCAAGGCGGCCACACCCTAAATCAACGTCCATGGAAGTTCTATTTTTCTTAAATTTCTTATGCCACTGAAAAAGCACTAACTAAATGCATTTTTCCCAGCCAATGTCAATAACATACGCGTTGAAGATAGAGTTATCCCGGGATTTTCACAAAACTTATGACTTAACCGAAATTTGACGTTGTCTAACAACTTACAGATGAACAATAAACCATCAACTAATAAATTAGATATCCAGTAAAATCAGTAAAATTCTCACAAAAAAAGGTTTATAAAAGATCAAGCAATCGTCAGAATGCCATAACTTTTGTTTTATTTACCACATAGGGCGGTTTTATTCTCATTTCACGTATCAAGAATTAAAATGATAATAAACGCGTTAATGTCTACTCGCATTTCCAAACAACCATTTCTATAACAACTGCCATAGAGTTACTATCATAAATATTTAAAATGTTTTTTATTTAAAATATTCAACAAGGGTCTTTATTCTCATCTGTAATTTTCAACCAATTTCAGTTACAAATAAATAAAATATGAAAAAATTCCACGAACTTTTGGATCAACCCTCGCATATATCTTTTTAAAAATTATTCATACGTAGAGCATGCTCTTACGTATCGAATCAACTGATATATATAAATTCCGTATGCAGGTAATGAGGGTATATTGCTGCATATGGGAAGTTGACGATAGAAAAGTTAAAGTCATCACGTTTATCATAGAGCTTGGTGACCATTAACTTCGTTTTCAAGTAAAATATCCAAATATGAAACAGATGTGTCAAACTCTTCGGTATCTTTTATCTCAAAATCCCCAGAATAACATAAGAATGGAAATTACCATTGTTAATTGAAAATACGTCGTCGATATACATGTATCTAAATGTCGAGTTAAAGGCTACAACAAGTGTTTTCTTTTCAAGCATAAGATTTTGCACAAATTCTGCTTCATTTGAATACAAAAATAGGTCAGCTAATAACGGGGTGCAATTGGTACCCATGGGAATTCCAATAGATTGTTGGAAGACCTGGTCTCCAAAAACAACATAGATATTGTCAATCAGAAACTCAAGCATCTTTTTGATGTCAACTTCAGAGTACTTGTGTGTACAATCAGAATGTGTTTTAACAAAATGATATTGCAAATGATCAATAAACAAGTAAGTAAATTTACGAGTTCCATTTTTATTGAAAAAGCAGCTGTCAATGATATCAAAGAGCTTGGACTTTAATTTATCGTGGAGAATGGTTGTGTATAAAGTTGAAAAGTCGTAAGTTTTTAAGCTGTTGATTTTGGTAAAATCTTTTGATTTCAAATTGTCCAAAAGACAATGGACTATTTGTGAGCAGAAATCAAGGCTGATTACTTACATTGGGAAACTTAGTGAAAATAATAAATTCAATTACTTATTCTTGGTCTTATATAATGCTAAAAAATTTTTAATCTATTACAAATCGTCTAATTAACTGTAAATAAATATTTTCTAGATTTTACTTCAAAGGGAAGATCACTCTAATGCATAAATCTACCCTATTAGCAGTGCTATTTAGTGTACAGTGTTTAGAGTTTCCTTAAATCCAAAATGAGCCAAAAGTTTGATATTTGGTAAAAGTTTGATATTGAAATTCGAAGAAAAGTGTTGGCTTCGTTTATCTTTACATACATTTTTAACCATTTGATTTCGAAATCGGATCCCCTTCTCTGAAAAAAACGAACTGAGTTACATTTATCGGAGAAGATGCTGATTTACGCTAATACTCAAGGTCCTACGTGAAGGTCACAGATGTTAGATTTGACAGAAAAGATAAATAGATAATAATGATAGAAGCAGACTTCATTTATTCATTTCACACATGACAAATACGTCGTGATTGTGCTAGACGATATTGGTTTGTACAAATAAAAACAAATGGCTCCGTGGTCATATTTTAAGTTCTGAAGAAGTTTTCTGAATGCAACTTACAAATTCACACTTTTGTTATCTTATTAAAAGAAATTTTAACTTCCACAAAGTTGCATTGAGATCAGTTTTTAAAGAATGAGGGAAAACTTGATTAAAATTGACCTTTCCAGACAGCTTTTTGTCTACTATTGCATTAACCCTAATGAAAATTGAGAAAAGGTCGCAAAAAGTAAGATAAACATTCTTAAGTATATGTTTATATTCACGAAAACATGCATTGGATTGCGGTGACTTTAGATATAAAGTGAGCATGCTAAACAGGGTTACCATATGCTCACATCACTGAAACTAACATCTAGAAAAAAAAAAGAATTTCAATTCAACTGCTTTATTAATCCTTACAATACCCAACTTAAAATATAATCAATTACAATTCACTTGCTAGAATTATCCTTACAATACCTAACTTAAAATGTAATCAACTGAAAAAAACATACCAGTACTCACTTGAAAATATTCATCAAAAAGGTGTATGTCAAAGGTCAATTATTACACTGTATGTACTATACATGTATATCGTACATTAATGTGAAGGCTAAATCAAAGGAACATTTTATTATTTTAAATTACATTATCCTTTTTTATGAGTCGCCGTTTTTTTTGTATATCCTGGCAAAAAGTGATATCACCTATTCGAATATCACTTTTTGGCAGTAAATACCAAAACGGTGCCTCATATAATTTAATCGTACAAAGTTATTGCATAACAGTAAATACCGGTATATCAGTACTAAAAGTGTGTTATGACGATAAGAAAATTCTCAAGTTAATTTCCTTTTAAAATAAAAATATTAATTTTGTGACATTTAGTTATGTACCAGAGACGAAACTTAAATCGTTAAGCAATGTCATCTTCTGCAAGATATACCACTCATGAGCATAATGTGTAAAACAGAAATTTTTTTAATGATGCATCAAGTTTTCGCTTTCCATATATGAGAGGCAAAAATACAGATCATTCAAGTTTTAATGGTCTGACATCCATTTTAGTTTCAACTAATAGATTTTTACTCAGTCATCGATCGATGTAGTAGGATGTGTCGAGGGACTGTGTTTAGGGGTCGTAAACAGCTTCCCTTACTCCACT